ACATTTACAACTGGCCATCAGAGGAGATGATGAGCTTGATGTACTTATTCGTGCTACTATTGCAGGAGGTAACACTACCAGCTCCTCTCTAATGTAATGATCTGTCTTAGGTGGAGTGGTACCATATATCCATCAAAGCCTCACTGTGAAGACACCCTACCATAAGAAAAAGCGTGCCATGTAACGGTACTGCCATCATTGGCCTTATAGTTGTTATTGCATGCTAATATAATGATAAGTCGGGCTAGTAGAATATCTCACCCCTGGACGGTGGTGCCCGCAGCATTTGTTAATTGTTGTAAAGTGAAAGAAGACGCCTGGTGAATAGCAGTGGATGACTTATGTCGCGCTGGCTGCAATAGTGTTGAGTTGGAGTTGTCGTTCATGCTCTAATTGAATCTCGTAGTATCGAAATATGTTATTCCCGCCTGGTCGCAAATCTATTACAAGTGTCAATTCAATGTATCAAATGGTAATTCTGCTGGTGTTGATTTGTCCTACTCGAACGGTGGATGATGGCCATATTGAGGAACTCTGCGGATATCAGTGGTACCGATTTCTTCGCGTGCTGTAACTGCTTTTACAGTATTAAGCACCTAGTACCAGAATAAAACCGTCGTTCATTTCATGTAAGGTAGCATTGTCATCACTTTAGGGGTTTGCCTATTATTAATGTCTTATCCTTTGAGTAACGACTCTAAGAGGAATGCATCATGGTGCTGCGGTAGTGGTAGTAGTATAGTACAGAGTAGTAATTTAATAACGGACTCGGCAGCTTGTCGAGCGGCGCTACTGCGGGCCCTCGAGCATGGTAGGTTGGCATCTTAGTCCGAGGGGCATCTCTCTCTTAGACCTGCCGACCCAATCACCGTTGGATCTCGATTATTATATAAAAGAATCTGAACGACAAGTGATGTGGTCACAGGAGAATTGCCTGGAGGATAACTCCACCTTGCGATTGGAGCTTTTTCGCCAGCAATTGCAGCTGCTAACGGTGCAGTACAGGAAAATATCACCGGAGAAAGCCGCGCTTCTGGAGGAGATCTCTCATGGTTATGAATCGTTATGTTTGGGAGTGGATAAGCCAGACGACAGCTCGCTGCAGCGTCCAACTTCAAACATCATCACGCATGAGAGCAGGGAGGCTCTGAACACTGGCGGCCGCGATAAAGGCATCTGGAAGAGATTCAAAGGCACTGGGAAGCGTAAGGCCGTTTGTGTGTGGTGGAGGAGATTCTTGAAGGACATGGTTCCTGCATGGTAGTACCCGACGCGCTTGGGCTGGGTATATCAAACTTTGCCGATAGGTTGCCGTATGATTGGCGGAAGAATCTTTTAGCAGAGATAATAGCAGCTATAGCACTTTCGTCTATTACGATACCCCAAGCTCTGGCCTACTCCTCCTTGGCAGCGCTACCGCCGGTCTATGGCCTATATGCGGTTATCCTGCCACCTGTTATCTATGCATTACTAGTAAAGATCTCATTAAAACTGCTTCCGGAGAATTCATGTTTTCAGGGATCATCTTCATTGGTGACCGTTGGTCCAATGGCTATGCCATGCCTCCTGGTCGGAGCTCACCTCGGGAGTTTACCCATCTCACCGGAGGACAAGGGCTCATTGGCAATAATGACAAGCATTATGGTAGTTGTCTTCCCTGGGCTTCCTGAAGGGACAGCTGCCTCTGCACAGGTCGGAGTTTTGTATCTCGGTCTTGGAACTCTTCGCTTCGGTTGGATAGTGAAGTTCCTTTCAAGACCATTGATGTCAGCCCTGCTAACCTCCATCGCAGTGGTTGTGATCAGCTCACAACTGAAACTGCTCCTCGGTACGAAGAATGATCGACTCTATCGTCTCCTCCCAAAGCCCCTGTACTTCAGGCATTGACGTCCAGAGTAGCACGTTGGTCCAAAGCGCTCTGGCTAAGATATTTACCAATCTCAACGAGATCAACCCTTATACAGTGATCATCTCGTGCATAGCTTTTCTTATTGTAATAGTCCCTATCTCCAACTTCCTTCCGAGTATAGCTCTTGCCTACGTTTAGATATTTACTATGAGATGGTTCAAGCTTACCCGCCCGTACGCTGCCTTGGCGACACTCATCTTATCCATATCGTTGGGGTATGCCATACAATACGATGAGCATGGAATTAAGATAGTCGGTTATGTGAGTTGTCGCCTTGTCGTCGCCAATGATGCTTACTGTGCGCTGTTTTCAGATACCGCGCGGAATCCCGGTACCGTTCTCGCTCTTCCCCGGGGAGTCCCTCTGGCGCGAGAATTTTGTCTCTCTCATCCCGACGGCCGTGAGTGCCAGTCTTGCTGGATACTTAGAGTCTATAGCTTTATCTAAAAAAATATATAAAGAGTATGGCGGCCGAAAGGCAATATCGCCAAATAGAGAATTCGTCTCACTTGGTGTTGCCAACAGTGCCCAAATGGTCTTCGGAGGCTTCCCTATGATGGGCTCCTTGTGCAACACCTCGGCCGCTATACTATGTGGTGGCAGGACACAAGTAACTGCTATAGTAAGATCTATCGTTATAGCGATTGTGCTGCTGTTACTGACGTCCGTCTTCTACTACCTTCCCGAAGCCGTGCTGGCTGCTAATGTCGTCGTCGCTGTGATGAAAATGGTGGATTTTAGAGCTCCATTGCGGTTGTTCAAGATGTCACAATTCATAGATTTCATCGTATGGATACTTACCTTCTGTCTTGTGGTCTTCACTGGTATACAGATTGCAGTACCAACCGCAGTTGGCATTACTCTATTGGTCTTCATCTTCCGTTCAAGCATGCGTACCAAGATAAAGCGCCTTGGTAGGGTTCCCGGTACCATCACGTATGTGCCGGTCAAGAAGCGCCGTGCTCTGGCACTTATACCAAGCGTTGTAGTATTAGACTTCCAAGCTCCGTTGTGGTACGCCAATAGCGATTACTTCAAGGATCGTATATTAGAGGAAGTCTCGCTGGACCATGTCGAAGTGGTTGTCATAGATATGTCGGCAGTCTCGTTCATCGACTCGACCGGCATAGACACTCTTGGCGACCTCATCGATGTTGTACATAGCCGCTACGAAGGCAGACGTTTTATAGTTCTAGCCTCGTGTAAATGTAAAGTTGCTAAATGTCTCGAGGATGCCCATATTGACCAGAGACTACGTAAGGCATCGGAGTCATTTCAGAAGTCCGACATGTACCGTCCCTTCTTCACCGACGTAAGCAGCAGGTATAGTGGTCATCTTGTTTATTTACTCTCTCAGGTCCATAGTGCAGTTGAATTTGCCGTGGAGGCTACTACATGTTCCACTGGCTGCTGCAACCTATCTTCGACTCGCTCCCTGCCAGATGAATTTGCAGTATGAATATTTCTAGAAATGGTACTACTATTGTTTAATAGCCGCAACATGTTTCGGCTTTATTGCCTCCTGTCAATCTAGTCGCTTTTCCTATTTTCCCAAGTGTTTGTTGGCACCGTATCCGAGGCTTACTCCACACGTCTACACTGCAACCACCGTCCTTGAATAGTTCAGCAAGCCATGGCCAGAACAAAGCCAAACCGACGTAAGAATAAGAAGCAGCAAAAGAAGCCCTTGGATAATCAAGCTTCGACGGCAGAGAGTCCGACAACCACTGAGACCGTCGAAGAGGTTCTGGCCAAGGCATTTCCGTACCCGACAGAATCTCTAGATCACGCTGAATCTCCCGCGAGAGCGTATGCTGTTGACCGACAACCTTTTGACAGAGTTGAGTGAGTTCTTCAGATACGGCCATATTGCGCCGATATTGGAGCTAATAGCGAGGAAACTAGGGAAGGCAAAGGATGAGCTCAAGATCTACGATCCGTAGAGGCTGTATCCTATCGACAAAAGAGTAGTATCCCTCAGATACTACTGTGATGGCGCTGTTGTTGCGAACTTGGAGGCGCTTGGCTTCAAAAGTGTATACAACAAGTGCGAAGATTTCTACACAGCCGAGTCCCCCGATTTCGACGTTCTTCTCACTAATCCACCCTACAGCGGAGACCATGTAAGTGTTGCGCCAACCGAATCGAGTATCGTAATCAACTGACGTGATGTCGCTGTCTCGATCACCGTGAATCCAGCTCGATTCTATCATCGTCTCCTTAGCCTGCGAGACTCGCTACGTTCGTCGGCAAGAAGGGGAAACCTTGGTTGTGGTTAGTCCCGAACTGGGTGTACATGAAGGACTATTATAAGGATCTAATTGCGATGCCTGGCCAGTCTGGCATGTTCTTCGTGGCCCCCAAAAAGCGATACGGTGAGACCGCGCATTACAAACTGAGCCATTCAAATAGACTCTGCGATTCCTGTTCTTTCGTCTGACCGATCCCATTCTAAGCTTGAGGTGAATCGACAACTGTTTTTCTTTAGTTTATCAAACCCCTAAGCATCTGCGAGCTAGCGCCGATGAGGCGAAAACGAGCCCCTTTCCTTCGTTTTGGTTTATCAACGGTTGCGATGTCTGTACTGCAGAAGAGATGCAGTCTGCCATGGCTGACATGGAGGGCGTTCTCGCGGTTAAGGATGTTCATGAGCTGCCTCTAACTTACTATGACCAATACGATCCTGAGTATAAGCGCCAGCGAAATATAATGAAGTCGCAGAAGCGAAAAAATAAGTTCCAAGGCGACCATGGCAGTAGCGAGTCCTGGGGTAGGAAAACTGGTACTCATCAAGATTACAAAATGTCTAATAAGCGACAGAAACGTATGTGAGACGTTACGTTTACCAATTACTTTACTGCGAGTTGAGTTTCAAGTCACGAAGTAGGGATACCGGGGATGATAGTCGGTGACATTGTATTTACGCACTCACCTGTAGCCGTCGCGATTGCCCAGCTGCGCAAGTCGGGGTTTCCAGCCCTTCGAAGTCATGCGTACAGATTTGAATGGAACACTCGGATTCTACCGGGCTTCGACCGATTATGAGCATGAGCTTCGAGGCGAGGTTAACTCACTGATCTTCTCGGTATCAGAGTGTTTGCCCGAGTGGTTAAGGGGGTGGACTTAAGATCCACTGGACAGTGTCCGCGTGGGTTCGAACCCCACAGCACTCATTTTCGCGTTTGACATTCCTACGTGAATGTGCCATTGTGCAGTGTGAATTGAAGTGCACATTGCATATGCCATAACAGCGAATGGCCAGGATCCAATGCATTTATGTCTTTAAATGGTTCAAGTTGAAGTGTAGATTAAAACTACTAGTTTGCCTTGGCGATTCCGGTAGCTCCAAACAAAAGAAGCACACTGGATGAAGAAACAGTAATTTTACAATAGTACACCGTGAATAAGTAATCATGCGCATCTTCCCATGGACAAGTGAACTGGACTCCTAGTTGAAGAGTTTGGTTCTAAACCGGCTGTTCAAGGATGCTGTCGCGTGCATCTCATGCCCAGGCGCCCGTCCGGATGAACCAAAATGTCGACGGCTAGAGGGCGGAACCCCAACGTCTCCGAATCTTCCTCTGTGAGTTCTCCTCGTATACAAATCTCGGTAAGGGTAAGAGAAGGCAGAAGGGTAGGGCACTCCGCGAGACTCGCAAAAAGGTTCGTCTCGATGAGCATTGCTCGCACCAGAGCCTAAATGATTGCTAGGCATAATGGTGTTGGGTTAGTGCCACCTCGGTTCTCTTGGATGTGTCAATCCATAGAGACGGATCACTTCCCCTCGACCGCGCGCCTGCTAGTGCTTCAATCCCTCTTGAGTTGCACTCTACGTTCAGCGCTCTCAATGCACGGACGACCGACGTCGCGATCGGAGGGAGTTTCAGCTCCAGCAGTCTTGAAGAGACGACTAGTAAACACACTCGCAACCCAACCTAGCATGAATCGTCTGATGAAGCAACATATTCCCTTACCAGGGGGTCTCGGGGAACAAACAACGACGCGTGAAATGGCAGCTGGATACCATCGGTGAGCACATCTTGAGAGACCAACTCGACGAGCTCTTTCTGAATGGCCTGAGAAAAGGTGATTGCGGACGTATCACTATCTATTTTCCCACCATCTCGTCTAATTTTTTGGTGGTCGTCTTCAATGCAACGCTGCCATCTCGCCAAGCAACACACTGCTTTCGGAGAGATACAACAGGCAGACCCTTAACGTAATCAACATCGATGAGGTCCGCCACCCTGGAGGCTGCCTCTTTGAGTTGTTCCTCAATCTCCAAGTGAGGCACTGTTCCTTTACTTTCGCTTCCCTTCCGTGTGGTTGATCTGGAGCTCTGCGAAGCCTCTCCCCACGATGGGTCGGCCAGTCCAAGGTCCAGTTCTATCGCTCCCACAGAGGGCATAAAAATGGAAGCAATTTGAGTGTAGTGGTAAAGAGGATGGCTCATGTCCTCGAGAGACACTTCTATTAACATGTCTTCGTTATTCCTACGATATGTTATAGTTGTTTCGATACGCGCACCGTCTGTCAGTTCGCGCTCGCCTTGCCATGCCTTCCACGAGCTCACATAGGTTTCCGAATCCGTTTGGCCATACGATGTTCTAGTTTCAGCTCTCGACAGTTGGCAATGATATGGTATGAGCGTCTCTCGGAGTTCGCCCGGCTCGCAGCTTTCTTCAAGTTGCGTCGCAGTATCTCGCCTAGCGTTCTCCAGCCACAACTCTATCGTCCTAAGGCGCGCCCTATCAGTCATATGCCGCCTGCTAACAAGCTGCTCAATCTCCCTATCGACTTCATCACTAGAAGCTCCCACCTGTCCTTCGACGGCCCTCGGTTTGAGCGCGGCTATGGTCTTTAGATCCACTTCGTCTATTTCAACTTGCCTTTCTATTTCTCTCATTTCCCTTAATAAGAATGTATGGAAAGAAGCCATCCACCATTCGTCTCCTCCCGGGAGTGCCTCTTTTTCTCGCAAGTCGTTCAACCGACGTTCGCCGATCTCGAAATCCCTGCTGAATTCCTCTTCCAAAGCAGCATGATAGGCTCGCTCATTCTTCAAGGCTTCCTTGGTCTCCGCATGAGCTCGAGCAATTTCAAAGGAAGTTTTCGCCCTGTCCTGGGCCGACTCCTCGTCCACAGCCATTTGTTTTTCTAAAGCCTCGCAAAGTTCATCAAACGGCAGTGGTAGTGGAGGTGTTCCTCGAGGCATGAGAAGGCTTCTGGGGAGCTCCCGTGCAGGGCGAGACAGTTCATCCTCAATTGCGTGAAGAATGTCCTTCAATTCTTTTGCACTCTCTTCGGGATTCATCGACTCCATTATCTCTTCGCGCAGCACGCTCATAACCTCGTCAACCGCTCTGTTATAGCAGTCCAGCCAGCACGGCGCTTCTTGCCGCGCACACATCTTCAAGGAGTCACGCAATTCCTTGAGGCACCGCTGCGCTTTCTTCTCTCGATCATGGCATCTCTGTCGTTGATGATCGCCAGATGAACTCCTGGCTTGGCTACTCGGCTCACATAATGCAGACGGCGTTGCTGCTGGTGTGGCCTACCACACTATGCTCTCGAACACTCCAATTCCAATCGGACCTACCTCACCGCCCGAAGCAGCAGCGTCGCATCTCGAGAGTACACGTTGCCCATCCACATCGCCCCCATGCCTAAGAGAAGCACACAGAAATCCGTTGCCGACCCCTAAACGCTGTCGGCATGAGCCACCAGTGTAAATCTTCAGTCCCTTTTGCCCTTGCAGTTCTGTACTCATAAAAGGCTTCATTGTCACCGTCCGCCAACTCGTACACTCTGGCCTGAAGTCAGCGTATGCAAAATCCGCAGGCCGTGTGGTCGACCGTCACCATAAGCGTCTCGAGTTCCTCTTCCTCCCGTCTGAGCTGTGCCGCTGCCGAGTCCCTGGCCGCAATCGATTTCGCCAATGTACGGCTCGCCTCCACAGCTTGTCGCTTCAAATCCTGGTACGTTTCTCTATGCGTTTTCATCACGGCAGCACTTGCCGCGACCTGACCAGCAGATGCTCTTCTTCGCAGACTCGCACTATTGCCTCACTCTTCGAGATCTTGCCGAATGCTCGTGGTATCGCCGCGGAGCTGCTCGATGCCGACTCTCAATCGGAGGCAGAACAATGTCGTAGGTTTCGCTCTGGTCCAGCCCATCAGCCAGCATGCGAAGTATCTCTGTGCCGTGCCGGTGGTCCAGACTGTCAGATCGCTCCAGTGGCATTATCGACGTCAATGAAGACTCTTCTGTGGATGTCATTCCTGCCTCGAGAGGGGACGTATAACAGACGAGAATCCTTACGTCTAGAAGATGTACGGCTGGTCTCCGATGGCTTCAGTTTTCGATGACCCCAATGCTTTCGTTGTCTCTGCCACCGATTCATTGTCGTTAGCACTGGTAGCCTACGAGAGTGCTTCACTCTACCGTGGACAGCTACTCGACATACTTCAGAGCATCCTGCTTGTTCCACAGTGGAACCTTCCTGCGACGCGGAGGCGATCTTTCGACAGGTGTTATTGGATCGAGATTATCTCCCTCCGAGTATCGCATTGTGGTCACTTGGTGTGACATTATCGCCGATCTTTCCCGTCAACAAGTTGCTGCAACTATGACACTTTACTAGGCAACACAACACCTTTTGTATATACGACGACAGTAGTCACAACTTCTCATTCATCATGAACAACAAAGATTCTCATCGGCAATCACGCATCGACGTCATCTCCTAAAAACAGCCATAGCAGCCAAATTTACAGTTCCTGCTCACCTTCGCCCTCTGCTGCTTCCCCTTCGACTTGCTCACCCTCCTCCTCTACTGGTTCCGGAACCGGTGTCGCGGGATCCTGACAGGGACATGCTCTGTGTCGAGCAGCAGAACTCACTTCGTAAGCGTCCCACGACTTCAACAAATTCCTTTCTTCTTCTATCCGAGCCGCCTCCAGCTCTTCGATGTCTGATATATTCTTACTCTCCTTCTCGGCAGCCGATACAATGTCCTCCACAGCACCCCGCCCCGCTAGCCATCTGAGAGCGATCATCGTTGCCAGGAGTCGAACCTGCGCCCTTCACGCCTTACTTATCGCGACATTCTGTGAATTTGCTTATCCGTTTCGAACAGGCAGCCACAACCAGCTCAGCAGTAACCCGCGAGCAGGCCTTCCTCAGCCTCGCCTCCTCAGCTGCCATCGCCATCATTTGCGGGAATATCTTGGTGTCCACTTCGATCTAAACCGACTGCTGCACCGGACGATCGAGCCCGACGCTCACCATTCGCGGGTCATCGAACTTGCCAAGCTTCTCCAATGCTCTCAATGTTTCCGCCTCCAACTCACCAACAACATGCCGCGCTAGCTGCCTCGACATCACCTTCCGTCGCACCACCTTTTGTAGAGGCAATCACCAGCGGCAGTTGCAGCGGTGGCTCACCTCCTCAACTCGAAGCCTTAGCTGCTCCTGGGCCACCCTCCTGGCCTTCTCATCTGACCTACGCTGCTCAACGCCTTCCATGCGCTGAGCCTCCAGCAACTCTGCGTGTCGAAGTGCGGCAAATCTGAGAGCACCCTCCCCCAGTGTTGGCTCCAAGCTAAGTCTCGCTACTCTGTCTGCCTTTGTCGTATAGCCTTCAACTCCTCTTCTTCTAACACCTCCATCAATGCTCGTTCAATGGTCCTTCCCACCACAACCTCTAGTATAGGTATCACCTATACAACTTCACATCAGGAGGACTTCCGCTAACTCTTTCACAAACGACTCAAAGAACCCCATAACAGTTGAGATAATAGTCGTAAATAGTAAGCAATAGTTAACTTAACGATCAAGCAGAACACCCCCAACGCACTGCCTGTGTACTATCTTATATAAATAAGCATCACTTATGCGGCAGTATCTCATTACCGGCCATAGATCACCAGATGAGCTCAAGCCGATGGCGTACCACCGCCGGGTACAGGATATTGGACAGCCCTTATTAGCCCCCCTACCTCCTTATCAAAGTCGAATAGTTCACCGTCTAATATTTGAGTACCGGCATCACTACCGCTCTTGGCTGGTATAAACAACGGGCTAGGTGGCCTGTCATTCTCGAAAGGTGTCTGTGTCTCCGCATCATGCCTGGCAATACCATCATCATCATGCACTACCGACACTCACCAAC